TTGAGACAGGGTCTCCCTGTAGCCCCGGCTGTCCTGGAACTTGCTATGTAGACCAGGCTGGCCTTGATCTCATAGAGATCTGCTTGCCTCTGCTTTTCAAGTGCTAGGATTAAAGGTGTGCACCAACTTGCCTGACTTGTTTTCTTTGTACCCAAGCTGGCCTTGAGCTGCTGGGTTCAAGTGATCCTCCTGCCCCAGCAGCCTGAGTAGCTGGGACTGCAGGTGCACACCACCACATCCAGCTCACCACTTGTGTATTTCAGATGAATTATAAAACAGTTCACACATATTGAAGGAAATGGGACAGTGTCACCACCTCATGGGCATCTCTGTGACTTGCTCAGTGACACTGAGCAGTCCTTGTGGGAGATGCAAACAGCTCTGGTGCCTTAGTCTGCACTACTGATGGAGCCCCCAGGCCCAGGAGCCCATACCACCCTATACCACCTCTTGGGTCAATGGACTTTGTGATTGTTTCTAGGTTGGTGCTAATAATCAGGTTTTCAGAAATGAAATAAAGCCTTTGTAAAGACAGCTCACTGAGCCAGGTTGGTGGTGCATGCCTGTAATCCCAGCACTCGGGGGAAGAGTCAGGAAGAACAGAAATTCAAGCTCATCCTTCTGCTACATAGCAAGTTTGAGGCTAGCCTGGGCTACATGACACCTCTCAAAAAAATTAAAAAATAAAACTAGCTCACCCAGACTGGGGTCACCAAAACCCACAGTAGGCATTTCGTTTGACTCTCTGTTCTGAGACTCCACTGTGTGTCAGGCCCTGTTGGTACTGGAGCCTCAGAAGTTCCTCTGTGATAGCCCAGTTTACAAGTGGAGGCCATACCCTGCTGGACATTGACAGTCATAGCTTTGGGCTGCTGTGGCCACGTGGCTGGGCTCCTAGGGAAGATGAAAATCCTTCTGTTAGCTCCTGACTGCACAGAGCTATTTCCATCTGACTTTATTTTGCTCCGTTGAGCACCACATTAAGCCCAGCTGTGGCCTGGGGTGGCCCTGCCTGGGACTGCTGGGTGCTGCCTCTGCCTTTTTGAATCAAATCAAGAGCTCTGGGGTGTAACTAGGTGGGGTGGTGTACACCTGTGATCCTAGCACTTGGGAGGCTGAGGCAGAAGAATCAGGTGTTCAAGCCAGTCTGGGCTACATAGTGGGTCACAGGCCAGCCTGGGAAACCCTGTCTATAAAAAATTTTGGGGTGGAAGTCCGAACACAGCTATTTGCTATGCCCCCCTGGGTGAATCGCTTGCCTTCTCTGAGTCCTGGTTTTATAATCTGGAAAATAAAGCCAAAATATTTTCTCATAAGGCTGTCCAGACACCCAGCAAATATTTATAGAGACCGCAGAATGGGGGCAGGGAGCATGTAATGAGCCCGGTACACAGTAGGTGCTTCATAAATGTTGGCATGTGAACAAGTGAATTCTCAGTGTGAGCCTGTGAAAGCCCCTTCAGCCTGGATGGCCCTGCCTTTGAGGGTAAAGAAACTGCTTACTGGGAAGTGTGAACATTTTGTCTGTCCCCCAGGTCTCAGACCTCCTTCCCACCTTCTGCTCTGTGCCCCAAAACCTTGACCTCTAGGGATGACACCTACCTAACTGCTGTGCCACTTCCAGTTGGCTTGACTACTGGAAGTCCCCAGCACAAGAGCCAAAGGTTGAGGTCTGTAGTGAGCTGGCAAATGGTGAACAACCAGCTCTCTGGGAGAAGGGCCCATATCTGGGGTAAACATTTCAAGGCTTTAGGGATGAATGGGTGAAACGGGCTTAGTTGGTTAACGGGTCTTAGCTGTGTTGACATGGCATGGAGAACAGTGGGTTGTATCAATGTCCAGTTTCACCTGGGGCTCTGACATGCTCATGGGCTGATGTAGTCATGGAAAGTGCTTGGACCCTCATCTGTGAAATGACAGGATAACACTTCTCTGAGGAAGCATAGGCCAGCCACTGTCACCTAGCACTCTGTGCTATGCCCCAGGCTGGGTGAATGGCCGGAGAACTGGCCGGGTAGTAGTCATTAGTAAAGGGGTCCATGGTGATGGGGTGGCAGTCATAAGGATGGGGAAGTGGCCACATTAGCTATCTTTAGCGCCTTCTCTCAGCCTTTTCCTCTGCCTGGCTGAACAGAGCTGGCGTGGGGAGAGGGAGGCAGGGCCACTTCTCCATAGTCACATGAAACCACTGCCCTGGAGCCACCATGGCCACTCAAGGCCCCTGGAGGGTGGGACTGGCTGTGGTATCTGGTTCTCTATGTCCAATGTCAGTGGGAAGCATCCTCTGCCACCCCCATTTGTGAAGAAAGCAAGGCCCATAGAGGAGCTTAGGAAAGGGCAGGGACAGAGAGACTCGGGCTGCAATGGTGCGGGGAGTCACATCTCCTATTCCTCATGGAGGCCTGACAACTCTGCTTGTGGTGGGCTGTGGGCACAGTATTAGGCACCTAGTTTCCTAGAGGCAAATTCTGCCTCCTTGCTTCCCTACTTCTGGGAGTCTCACCAAGGGGCCTTAAGCCTCTCTCTGCTGAACTGTCAGTATTGTTCAGTGAGACCAAGTGTTTATGACCTGAAGAAGCTCAGACCCAGCTGTGGCTCCATTTCCCCATCTATGAAATGGGAACAGTGGTTGTGGGGACTGAAGGTGATTCTGAGCCCAGTACAAGGTGTAGCACATAGTAGGCATTTATCAAACAGCTGACCTGCCCAAGGAGCTAGACCAGGATTTGGCAGTCACTCCTAGCACAAGGGTGGGGTCTCAATCTCCAGTCATGCCCCTCACCCCCAGGTGGGCACTGTGTGCCCCTAAGCAGGGTACCTACCCCCTCCCAGCCTCTGCCTTGGGTTCACATTGGTACAGTGAAGTAGTAACATGTCTCAGGAGGTGTCCCTGAAGTCTGGGCTAGATCGGGAGAATTACTAGGGCTCCTGGAAGCCAGCCAGGGCTAGACCCAGAATCGGCCCTGATATTGAGACAGGTAAGCCTTCAGTGGAGGGCAGGGCAGGCAGGGGGGACCAAGTAGCTGCACGCAGAGAACTGGTGAAGGCGCTGAGGCTGCTGGCAGCATCGGTGCAGGGGGACAGACAGGGCCCCATCCCCACCCCAGCAAGACTGTCACCAGGATCTAAGCCAAAGCACTTTGGGGTAAGCCCAGATGGTGGCCAGTTGGCCACCCCTCCAGCCTCCTGTGCTATCCCTGGTTCTGTCTGCCTTTTAAGGCAATGGTGGCTCTTGCCACCACCTCCCTGTTCCTACTTGCTCAGAAAGTCCCAGCAGGTATTTGTTTTCCAGGAGGGTTGGAATGCCACTAAAGGATTCCAGAGAGACCTGTCTGGGGCTTCTGGCATGAAAAAAGTATGACAGGAAGCACACACCACAGGCATGGGAGATGTGCCCTCAGCAACAAGCTTGGAGCAAGGGCAGAAGAGAGTTGACCACCCTACCCCAGCAAGCCTTCAGAGATGGAGACTCCCACCATTGCACACCCAGGCAGACAGTACTCAGCAGCAATGTTTACTGAGCACCTACAGTATGCTAGGCTCCTTCATGGCCTTCCTCCCTTGAGCTGGGATCAAAGGCCAAGGAAGCCCTTCTCAAAAGCCTCAGCACCTGCCCTAGGGGTTGTACCAAGAGTTTCACCTGATGCATCCAGAGCCTACAAGGCCCATCACTCTGTGGCCAGTGGCCTGGTTTGTATTAATCATACTAAACCCTCTCATCTGCCTCCCAGAGAGGTACTTCACCTCCCCAGCACTAGAGGCTAGCACCCCAGAATAGGGAGCAGGTAGGTGCTACAGGCTTGAGAGCCCAGCACTGCACATGGTGTTGCTCTCCAACAAAACAAAGCTTCCTGTGCACTGGGAGGCGTCATTTGGCCTAGTGTCAAGAGGCTGTGTCCAACTGGGCTAGGACTGACCTTCCAGGAAAAATAAAAGACTTTGAGCTGGTGTTGGACTGATGTGGCTAAGTTCACCTCAGCTGTGGTGGCTCATGCCTCCACTTCTGGCCTGGGATACTGGACACAAACCTAAGGCCCCTCAGCCTGAGAGCAGGTATCCCCAGCAGCCTGTTCTCAGGACCCATTCCCAATCATCCTGGCCAAACACACTAACACCTCTGCGGCCAGGGTTGTACAGGGAGTAAGGCCCAGCAAAGCCTATCAAACCAGAGTTTAGTGGGCAGCATAGTTCCAAGGCCAGCTTAGAGAAGGGATAGATGGAAAAGGGGCTAAAGTGGGGGTCCTGTCCAGCTGCATCCTCCTAGAAGCAGAGTCCAAGCATGGGTTCAAATCTAATGCCCGATGGGCAAGGCCTCAGCAACATTAAGGTCCTGCAGTAAGCAGATTCCACAGGACATGTGCTGTGCCTGCCCCCTGGTGGCCCAGGCTGCAAGTACAGCCTTAAGCAGTGGAGCAATTATACCTGTAACCTCCAGATGCAGGCCTCACTGCACACCAACCTCCAGTACACTGTGGGCATACCCTGTATGTGGCCTACCCCAGCTGCTCAGTGATAGGGAACCTAACACTGAGACTGTAGACTCTATAATCCATAGAACAGATGCTTAGTGGGTACTACTGCAAGTAGGTAAGGCTGAAACCCAGGCCCATTCCAGGAAGTGGAAAGGGGCCACGCATCAGGGCCTCTACTAGGCCCAGGTGTGATGCCATGCTGTGCAGGGTTGACATGTGACCCCTCCTTCCCAGAGGTTAATGCAGATTACAAAGGACCCAAACAAGCCCCAACTAGAAGCTGCTCCACAAGGATTAAGCCAAAGTACTTGTAGGCAGGCCCCAGGTCTGCTGAATCCTTGCCAACCTGTGCTGCTAAAGGCACCAGGGCACACCAAGTCCCCGCCCACCACAGCCTTCTAAAGCAGTTCCAGCTGCTTCAACAGGACAAGCCCCTGCCTTGACCACGCCCTAAGTCTGCTTCTTCAGGGACTGAAGCCTCCCAAGTGCCTCCCACTGCCTGCTCATGCCTATAAAAAGAAGCCCAAGTCAGTGGAAAAGTTTTTATTGAGACCCCACCAGTCACACAATGTGCCTCTAACACTAAGCACCTTCCTCCTTGGCAATCCGGTCTTTCTTGAGTGGTCCCTGTAAAGAGAAGTAGAGAAGCAGGTGTCAGTGATGAAGACACTACTAGTAAAAGTACTCCACGGGGGGGGGGGCTCCTCCTCCCCCTGCACAGGCAAAAATACCCAAGACAAGATGGGCTGCCATATGCTCAACCAAGGTGGGGACTCACCATGAATGCTTTTTTCTCCTCCATGGTCTGGAAACGGCCATGGCCAAATTTGGAGGTTGTATCAATGAACTTCAGGTCAATCTTCTCCAGAGCACGGCGTTTGGTCTGGACAAGCAAAGACTGTGGACAAAGACTGGCAGTGAGTTGGCATTCCTCAACACAACTGAATGAGCAGTCAGTCACAGGGCCAACTCAACCTCCTGGAGACAGGGCTTCCTCCCACACAGTACCACTGCAGACTGAACCCTGACCCAGTCAGTACATCAGGATGAGCAGGATTCATTTTTGTACTAAGGAAACAGGCACTTCCTCCTCAGAACCTCAAAGCTGCATCCTTCCCCATGAACTATGGGACAGCTCTCCCTCAAAAGGGGTGAGGCTCCTGGTGACATGATCCTGGAAGGCCACCCAACCTCACCTTACGGAGGGTGAGCACTCGTTTCTTGGTTCCCACCACACAGCCTTTCAGCATGACGAAGTCATTGGTCACCTCACCATAATGGACAAAGCCACCCTGAGGTTAGAACAAAGTTACAGGTCAATGCAGTACAGATTAAGCACAGGGCCACCTTCAGGTGCAGGGTGGCCTTAGCTGTTCTCAGAAGGAAGGCAACAGGGAATGGTTCCACACTTTCACTCAGGCGCTGTACCCAGCGCACATTCCAGGGCCTCATCACAGAACAGCTAGCTGGGCCTGAGCCCACTTCACCAAGTAGCCTCAGTTGAATGGACCCAGACAGACAGTCGACAGGGGTGCCATTAATGACACTACAACCAGCCTAGCCAGTAGCAAGCCTGATCTCACAGAAGCCTAGGGGTCAGCTCCCAGCACTCACCAAGGGGTTGATGCTCTTGTCGGAGAGGTCATAGTCGGTAGAGGCATTGTTCTTGATCAGCTTGCCATCCTTGATAAGGTAGCCCTGTCCAATCTTGTAAATCTGAACAATAAACACAGTATTAGTATCAACCTGAGAGCAGAGGGTTCTAACAACCAGGCCAGGAGCCCAAAGGGAGCTATTTCCAGACAAGGGCAGGAAGGAGTCTCATGTAATTGCAAAGAGGCAGCAGCTAGTCCCCACCCACAGATAAGCAAAGGCTAGAAGTGGGAGGGTTCTCAGTCCTGTTTCAGGTGGCTGGGCCTGATCCAAAAGTACTGTCATTAGCATCCCACCATTTGGGGTAGAGACTGGACACACATGAACTACAAGTGAGAAAACATCTGGGCTACCTATATGAGACTAACAAATACAACCTGCAGTAAAATGATTCACTCATGTAATTCTAACACTCCCAAGGGACTTGTCCTTTGTGGTAAACTACTCAAGCCTTACCTTCTTGTTGATCTCTGTGCGATGATGGTAGCCTTTCTGCCCAGCTCGAGCCACAGAGAAGGCCACACGGGCAGGGTGCCAAGCTCCAATACAAGCAACCTTGCGCAGGCCTCGGTGGGTCTTACGGGGCAGCTTCTTGGTGTGCCAGCGGCTGGTGACCCCTGGAGAGACACTATTTTAACACGAGGGCCTGGTACACACCCTACTGGCCCTTTCCTGTTGTGAATGCCCAACTGGAGTTCAACTGTGGTACTTGAGGACCAGGAATGCCAAGCCTGTCACTCCAAACACCACCCCTCATCTATACCACCCTTACATACTCAAAAATCAGGCTGGTCTTGATCTCAGATCTCTCCTAGGCTATGCCCCTCACATTAATATGGTTGTTGGGGATCTTAACTCTGGTCCTCATCATTAAGCAGCAGTAACTTCACTCACTAAGCCCTCCTCCCAAGTTCCTTTTTAAAAAGGTGGGCTTTGTGTGGAATCTGTCAAAATCCCATCCCAAAAAGCCCCAGTGGGCTGACCAGGGAGCTTTTCTCAGAAGGAAGGCAACAGGAATGCTTCCGCAGTCTTAGTCGGGTGCTGGACCTACCTAGCACACTCCAGGGCCTCATCACAGAAAAGCTAGGCCTTCCTCCCGGATGCATTACCCAGAGTCCCCAACCACTAAGCTCACCTTTGTAGCCTTTGCCTTTGGTCACCCCGATGACATCAATCATTTCATCCTGCCCAAACACCTGGTTCACAGGGACTTGCTGTTCCAGCCTTTCCCGGGCCCAGTCTAGTTTCTCAGCCACAGTGCCCCCGTTCACCTGGATCTCCATCAAGTGGGCCTTCTTCTGACGGAGAGGAAGCAGGCGCATCTAGGAGGAAGCAGATGCAGCTTAGGTCAGATTTCCAACATTCCTCCTCTGCAGATAGAATGACAGGCTGGGACAATCTGACATCAAGGATATGTATGACTACAGATAACTAGTCACCCTGAATCTCTAGATCAAAGGACTTGTGACAGTGCCTAAGGGTAGCCCTGGCTACACTGGAACCCACTACATAAACCAAGCTGACCTCAAACTCAAATCCACCCTCTTATCAAAACCTTAAGTGCCAGGATTAAAGGTATGTATCACCAAACCCAGTAGGACCTTTATTCTTGCAAAGCCAATAAATAATCCCACTTTCAATTACAATACTTTGTGTGTTAAAGAGTTAAGGGGGGCAGAGGCAGGAGGATCTTGGTAAGATTGATCTAAGTGGTGGGGGGGGGCAGGTGTTTCCAGGCCAGGTGGGCTACAGAATCTATCAAGACAAAGCAAGGGGCTGGAGATGGAGAGGGGATAGCCAGCCTGGTCTATATAGTGAGTTCCAGGACAGCTGGGGCTACAGGGAGACCCTGTCTCAAAAAGACCCCCCCCTCAAAAAGCAGACTGCCCTTATGAAGGACCCAGGTTCAATCCCAGCACCTATATGCTGGCTGCTGCCCTCATCCAGCCTTAATGGCTTAGCTATTTCCTCCAGAGCCTTTAAAAAGCTCAATACACTATCTGTACTAACACAGCAATCTCTAAGCCACTATGCTGGCCACTGACACTGTTTAGGTAGGAGGCAGCCATTCTAACCAGCAGATTCCAGATCACATGACAGCAACATACAGGGGCCTTCCTGAGTCTACACCAGATAAAGCACATGAATCTGTGTCCCCTCAAGTCATAACAAGTGAGTAGGAACAAGGGCACAAGAGTGCCCTCTGCTGGTACTGGTCAACCCAAGGTATGGATACTTCATAACAGCAACCTGGAGTCAAGTCCTAGCAGTGACAGCAACCTGGAGTCAAGTCCTAGCAGTGCAGAAGCTGTCGATGACCTGTGGACTCACCATAAAATTGATCTAGTGCCATTTCTGTCTGCTAGCACATGACACCCTGGGGCCCACCTGCCCCCGGGCTGCTAAGAGCTCACCTGGGTGTGGGCGATGATGCGGATGACCTGGCAGTACTTCTTCATGCTGCTGAAGTCCTTCTCCAGCTGCTTCTTGCCCATGTCGTCCTGCCATTTCTTACAGTACTTGGTGAAGGCCTTCTTCTTAGATTTGTGCCTTCAGGAGATCAGAGTTGGGGGAGGGGCTGGGTACAGGCCTTCATCACCTTTCAGAGGGTGAGCGGAAGGCACTGGCACCACGTGGGATGGGGCTCATTGCCAGCTTCTAAGGAGCCTTTTCCACTGGCAAGCGGAGCCTGGATGGAGCTCATCGGGCATAGCCGAGCGGAGCTGAGCAGAGGTCCACAGGTTAAAGTATGCCACAAACATTCACAACACAATTCTTGCTCCAGGGTGTCAGAATTTCCCTTCCTCTAATGGGGGAAGGGTCCTAAGGTTAATACCCTTTTATATAGAAACCAGAGCAAAGGACCTAGCTTAAGAGTCACAGTCCTTGCCTAGTACTGCCAATGTCCCGAGTTCAATGCCCAGCACCAAAAGAATTGAGAACACAAGGCCGGAGGCACTGGAAATAATCCCAGACCTCTTTTGGTTCCTAGCTGAATTTGTATTGGCCAACATAAAACAGCACCAGGTTTTCAGCCAACCAATGCCCACAAGACAGAATGAGTCAGCTTTTAGCTCAGAAACCAGGGGCTGTTCAAGGTCTGTCTTCGGGTATCACTGTCCCAGGCACTCCTCCCCTCAAGGAAGGCCAGCCCAGAGGATCCCTGCACTCTACACCACCCTAGGACCGCATGGCTTTGACCCCCTTACCAGTTCTTGTAGAAACGCCTTTTGCATTCGTCACTGATATGCTCAGCAAAGACTGTCTTAAAGGTGCGGAGGCCACGTGGGGTTTCTACGTAGCCCACGATGCCCACAACCACCATAGGTGGTGTCTCCACAATTGTGACAGCCTCCACAACTTCCTTCTTGTTCACCTCTGTGAAGAAGGCAGGTGGACATTAGTGGGTGGCTAAGAACTCCCACCAGTCTGCCTTCCAGGATTATTCTCAGCATGGCTCTGTATTATTTCCCTGTATTCTGCCTGCATGTAAGTGCACACCCGTGTCTGCAATGCCCAAAGGCTCTGTTAGTACAGATGGATCCCCTGAATTGGACTAAGACATGGCAGCTAGCCCCCATGGGAATGCTGGGAACTGTATCCAGGTCCTATTCAAGAAGCTAGTAGTGCTTGCTCATCATTAGCAGTCATTCTCTCTAGCCCCCAATACATCTCTTTGAGATGGGGTCTCCCTGTAGCCCCAGCTGGTCTGGAACTATATAGACAGGTTGGCCTCAGAGATCTGCCTGCTTGTCTCCCAAGTGCTGAGATTAAAGGCATGTGCCTAACGCCCAGCCCTTTTTGAGACTGTTAAAGACAGATAAGGCTGCTCTCCTGGGATTATCATGGTGTGCCACCATGCCTGGCTTCCACTCTGCATCAGTGCAGCCAAACCAAAAAAATCCCAAGCCAGGTGTGCTCTCACCTGTAAGCACCAGGAAGGAAAAGGTCCTGCAGAACTGACTGCTGTGTTGAGGCTCACTCTAAGTGGGCTCACAACAGGAAGTCAGTTTCTGTTCCAGTCAGAACAGCTCAAGCCACACAAGTTGACATAGTTTGTTGTGGCTCTTGACAAATGGGCTAGGTAGCCCTGGCTTAACAACCAGTCCTATAACCATTCCCTACCACCAGCTAAAGGAAGTTATGTACGTACTAGATCCTGGCCGGTCAACTTCACGCACAATATGGGTCATGCCAGCCTTATAACCCAGAAAGGCTGTGAGGTGGACAGGCTTGGAGGGGTCATCCTTGGGGAAGCTCTTCACTTTCCCGCGATGCCGGCTGCTGCGTTTCCGAGGCAAGAAGCCCAAGGACCCGTGCCTGGGAGCCGAGAACTTCCTGTGAGACTTTGGGGGGGGGGAATCATCAACATTAGCACAAGCTTCTTACCTGCTGTTAAAATTCAGCAGCCACACCAAACCCAGGAATATATTTCCACTATTTAAAACTCACATTATATGACCTGCAACAGTGCTAACTTAAAACCTCTCATCTTGCAGCGATAGCTCACCACCTGCTTGCCCTTAAGTACTACTACTAAAAATGACTCAAGTGGCCTTACGGGTGAGCCAGACTGTCCATTAAATGGATGCTGAAGGGCTAATGGCCACTCAGCCAGCAGAGGCATTTCAGGAGCCAGCCTGGAGCACAGACCTCCAGCACTCCCAGAGCCATTATCAGAACTTGACAATCAGCACAGAGTTTCTGTCCGCCCGTCAAAAAGGTTCATCATTTATGGCTCCAGGGAACTCCAGGGAACCTGCCTCCCGCTATGATTCCTCTTCACCCAATATAATCTCAAACCCCGCAGCGTGACAGGACAAACTACCCAACAGTTCCCGATCTCAACCAGTACTGAACGCGGTGACTCTGGTTTCTGAACCCGGCACCTTCAGGCCTGCTCCCGCCCCCCCACGACTCTCCCGCAGGCCCGGGCCGATCATCCACACTCCTTTACACGCCTGGCGAAAGCTCCAGAACTCGGCCTGGCCACGTCCCACTCCCCGGCCCTTGTGCTCCTAGCGCGGCTTTAGCGCGCCGTCCAGGCCGCGATGGCGCCGATGCGCCGCCGATGCTGCCTGGCTATGGAGGAAGGAGGCCGCAGCCACAACGGTACGTACCATCACGTCGTCAGTCTCCGCCGTAGAGGGCGGTACGGGCCTGGCGCAAGGTATATAAGGCCACGCGTACCCCGCCCCTTCCGGTGTGCGAGCGCGCGCCCGCGGCGGACAAACGTAGGGTCGAAGGGCGCGCGGCGGACGCCATTCTGCAAACGCTTTCCGGCACCTAAGTGTAGGCTCCGCTCCCTACGGCAAGTGGTTGGGGTCAAATTTAGTTAGTGAAAAGCCGCTGCGGTTTACACTGCAACGAATCTACGGCGTGCCGCAGCATCCACACTTAAAGATAATGTAGCAAAATGGTTGCATTGATTGAATTCGCGTGGAATTCGGTCCCTGGAATTGAGCTATCCGATGCTAGCCTCTTCAGCTCCGCAGAGATCAACGATGCAATGACGTTAAACTAACTGCGTCGCTGGAGCAGCTTTTTAAGTTGAAAAGACTACATAGGTCCCTAATTTGCCAGTGTTTTTGGTGCGACACCCACTTGCCTTTACTGTCTTGATTTTGGGCATGCCTCCCTCAAGTCCTGTCTCACCCATTCCCAGTCCCGGAAGCAATGTCCCGTACATTTTGAAAGTCTCCCAAGGATGCCTCGTGACCTGGAGTCATTAACGAGAACCAAATCTTAACAGAATTATCTCCTTAATGCTCACAGCTACCGCTGTTTCCTCAATATTGGGCAGTAACTCCCCAGGTTGTTAGGCAACTGTGGGACCTAACTTACACTCATCACCTGGCTCCCTCCATCCCAATCTTTGATTCTGGGCCCGTCTTTCGCACCTATTTTGTGTGTGTCTGTGTTTAATATTTTTATTTTATGTGTACGTGTGTATTGCCTGCATGTGTGTAAGTACACCCATGTCGTGCAGTGCCCACGGAGGACAGACGGCCTCGGATCCCCAGGAACTGGAGTTAAGGACAGTTGTTAGCTGCTATGTGGCTTCTGGGATTCAAACCCCTGTCTTCTTGCAAGAACAGCCAGTGTTCTTAACCGATGAGCCATCTCTCCAGCCACGCCCCCATTGTTGTTTTTTTTAAATCATTGTTTGGAGGGGGCATGCTGGCTTTCCCTTGTAATCCCAGCTGCTGAGAATTCTCAGGCTGCTGAGAATTGCAAGTTCAAGGCCAGCCTTGGCTACACTTGAAATTCTGTCTCAAGAAACAACAAAATCTTTCTCATTTGAATTTTTTTTACATTTACTTATTTGTGCGTGTGTATATTCGTGTGTATGTATGTGTATGTGAGTGTGGGTGCCTGCTGAGCCCAGAGGTGTAGTATGTTACAGGCAGTTATGAGCCACCTGAAGGGGTACTGGGAATCCAACTTCATCCTCTGCAAGAGCAGTATGTACTTTTACCTGCTGAGCCATCTCTCCAGCTCAGGAACTTTTTTTTAAATTAAAAAATATTTTTTTGAGGAGCGTGAACATGGATTTATCACGGAGAAGTGAGAAAGAACTCCTGAAAGTGTTGCAGGCCTGGAACAGAGGCGACCATGACCCCAAAGACTGAAACAGGAAACAGTTTATTGTACCTGTACAGTGACCATGAGAGATTTTTTTAAAGCAGGACCCCAAAGGAAAGCTTAACCTTTACACTCCACGTACAGCTCAGTTTCTTTGTCTCTCACATGTGGTAACACACATGTCCTGATTGGGTGCTCTGTGCTACAACGTCATGACAGGAAGAACTGTGACACAGGTGCACTTACCTACATGCAGGCAATACATGCATACACATAAAATAAAAATAAATAAAAATTTTTCTTTTTGGTCTTTTTGAGACAGGGTCTCCCTGTATCCCCAGCTGTCCTGGAACTCACTATGTAGACCAGGCTGGCTTTGAACTCACAGAGATCCACCTGCCTCTGCCTCCCAAGTGCTGGGATTAAAGGTGTGCACCACCACGCCTGGTTTAAATAAAATATTTTTTTTAAAAAGAAATTTCTGTTAGCTGGGTATGGTGGCACATACCTTTAATCCCAGTATTTGGGAGGCAGAAGCAGGCAGATATTTGTGAGTTCAAAGCCAGCCTGGTCTACATAGTGAGTTCCAAGCCAGCAGGGAGTACAGAGAAATCCTGTCTCAAAGAGACCATAAAAAAAGAAATTCCTGTTGAAGTTCTACTTGATTCTTATAACAAAAAATGTGTAAGAGACTGTTGATTTTGAATTGGCTCCTGATCTGGAGCCAACAGATTAAATCAATACATAGTCATTCTTGCTAAATGAGTCTAAGATTGTTGTATTGAAGTAAATGTATGAATATTTGGTTGGTGACAGCAACTAGGCAGTCACAGGCAGTCAAATGATACCAAAAATATAAACCAATGAAAATTTAGCATGTTTTTGTCCTGTTCTTGCAAAGGATCCGATTTTGATCCAATTTTGATTTGTGAACACCTCCCCCGACCCATGACTGAATGTAGACAGATCCACCCCTGTGCAGGGACTCAGAGAAGCCGAGAGCTTGAGAGTGTAGTGGCTGAATCATGCCTGGAGGACAGCATTCCACTATACCCTCCCTTCCTCCAGCTCTTACACCCTTTTTCCCCTTTCTTCCAGGTTGTTCCCTGAGCCTTTGACGGGTTTTTTTGTTTTGTTTTTTTGGTGGTTGTTTGGTTTGGTTTTGTTGAATTGTAAGTTGGTTAGTTTTTTTTTTTAATTATTAATTCTTTTTTTTTTTTTTTCGGTCTTTTTGAGACAGGGTCTCCCTGTAGCCCCAGCTGTCCTAAAACTCACTATGTAGACCAGGCTGGCCTTGAACTCAGAGATTCACCTGCCCCTGCCTCCCGAGTGCTGGGATTAAAGGCGTGTGCCACCAGGCCTGGCTATTAACTCATTTTTATTTTACACACACGTATGAGTATTTGCTTGCCTGTATGTAAGTGCATTTGTGCAATGCTCCCAGAGGTCAGAAGAGACTTTTGGATCCCCTGGAACTGGAGTTACAGATAGTTTTTAGCTGCCATGTGGGTGATGGGAACTGAATCCTTGTCCTTCACAAGAGCAGCCATCACTCTTAACTGCTGAGCCATCTCTCCAACCTCCCCTTATCTGTCTGTTGTCAGTTAAATTCACAGGCCTCCAACCTAAGTCTAAATTGGGCAACAGCACAGTCTGTTGCAGTTCTCCACACTGCTGCCAGGTGGAACAGCATGCTAAGGAATGAACAAAGCTATGCATCATATTGTGGACACTGAAATTTTAATTTCCTATAGGTTGGTTTGTGTTTGTTGACTTTCTGAGATAAGGTCTCAAATTGCCCATGCTAGCCTTGAACTCACTTTATAGCTGAGGGTGAATTTAAACTCTTGATCTACCTATCTCTACCTCCCAAATGCTGGGATTACAAGTATGTATGTTGTATTCAGCTTTCATATAATTTTTACATGTTACAAAATGTAATTCTTGGGGCTGGAGAGATGGCTCAGTGGTTAAGTTGCACTGACTGCTCTTGCAGAGGACTCAGGTTCAATTCCCAGCACCCACATGGCTGGTATAAACCGTCCTTAACTCCAGTTCCAGGGGAATCCGAAGCCCTCTTCTGACCTCTGCGGCACTGCATGACACAGGTGCACTCACATACATACAAGCAATACACTCATACATGTAAAACAAAATAATAAAATATCTTTTAAAAAATCTTTACAATGTAATTATTTTGGGGTCCCTCCCTCAGGTATCTAAAAAGCATTAAACACATTCTTATCTTGCAGGTTGCACAAAAAATGTAGCAGCAGGCTGGATATGATGAACGCAGCACAAGAGTATAGCCACACACTGGAAAAGCTATTAGCCAGCAATGGAGGAGGATCAGTTTAGGGTCATCCTCAGCTACTTAGTGAGTTAAAAGATATTCTGAGCTGTGTGAGTACCTGTCTCAAAAATCAATCAAACAAATGAACCAAAACATCAATAAAAATACAGAAAAAGGGGGCTGGAGAGCAGGTGACTCAGTAGTTAAGAGCACTGGCTGCTCTTGCAGAGGACCCAGGTTCAGTTCCTACAACCCACGTGGCAGCTGACAACTATCTTTAACTCCAGTTCCAGGAAATCTAATGCCCTTTACTGGCCTCCGCAGGCATTGCACACAGGTGGTGCACTTACATACATGCAGGCAAAAGACTCATACACATAAAATAAAAATAAAATTTAAAAAATACAGAAAGACTCTATTTCTCAGTCCTTGTTGCAGCTGGGTATAACATGTGACTGACAGAATGCAGATAAATAGGAGGGTCAGGTCCCAACACCCAACCCTTAATGCCACCAGAAAAACAATGGAGAAGGTGTGTTAGGAGGACTTGGGGGGGAGGGGGGTTGGGGATCTAAATTCAGGTCCTCTTGTATGCATGGAAAGCCCTTTACCAATTGAACCATCTCCTTGGCTCCATGGGAAAACTTTAAGGGCAAAACAAGCTGGCCATCATGATGCATGCTTTTAATCCTAGCACTCAGGAGACAGAGGTTTACAGACTGGTTTACATAGCAAGTTCCAGGCTAGCTAGGGCTACAGGGAGACCCTGTCTCAAAAAGAAAAAAAGACCAAAAAAAAAAAAGAAAGAAAGAAAGAAAGAAAGAAAGAAAGAAAGAAAGAAAGAAAGAAAGAAAAGAAAGAAAGAAAAGAAAAAGCCCAGCCACCCAGTTAGGCTGAACAGTGAGACCCTTTTCAAAAAAAACATTTTTAAAGAAATATTTTGTTTGGTTGGGCTATTTATTTTACATTTTAATTTTGCGTCCTTTCACAGTGGTACCACATTGTGTCTGTCTCTCCTCTCTGTATAGGTCAGAGGAAAACTTGTGAGAGTAGGTTTTCTGTTCTTGCCTTCCTGGGGACCAAACTCAAGTCTTCAGACTTGGAGGCAAGCCGAATCATCTCCCCAGTCTGAGTGTATTGCCTGCATGTTACAAGTGCACTTGTGCTGTGGAGTGCCCACAGAGGTCAGAAGACTGCGTCAGATCCCCTGGAACTGGAGTTACAGTGGTTGTTAGCCACTATGTGGGTGCTGGGAACTGAACCCAGGCCCTCTGTAGGAGCAGCCAGTGCTGTTAATCACTGAGCCATCTCTCCAGTCCCTAAATTTTTAAAAAATTATTTTATTTTTTCATTGTTTGAGAATGTTACAGCTACA